TTCGAGGGGTCCTATGAGGCAGGTATGTGCCGTGGTTAGGAGCCAGCTTTGCCCATGAACGGAATCGCGAGGAATTTTCTGCAAAGCCGAGGTGTCATACGATTCTTCAGGCTTCCGCGAACTTCCGCTTCTTTCGTACTCTTTTCGCACGATTTCACGACACCGACACGGCTAATTTCCAATCGTATTACTTTTTCGTGTATTCGAAGGTGTTATATAAGCATAGCTTGGGATGAGATGTAATCTAAAATGTTAATGTTATCTCGTAAGTAACGATAATCGTGTAAATAACAACTAACAGCTAACGTTTGTTACAATGATACTTAAATTTTTCTTTTTTATACATTTTATTTTCATGTTTACTTATTTATCGTCGTGATAATTTATTTTTAAGCCACTTAACCGAACATTTATCAGTCTAGTCAGTTTTTAATCAGCAAGCTATGTTTCTCCAATTATTTAACACACTAATGACGCATGCTATATCGCGGAACAGTTAAAAATATATAATTTGCGTATTCGTTTTTCCAACTCTTAATTATTCTAATCTAAAAATAGATACAACTTATACAGCGTTAATTTTAACCAAAAATTAAACGCGGCATCGATCTAAAATCAATTCCATCTCATCGCCATCTATTAAAAACACTTTAAAGCAACATTAGCAGTCCTCAACCTGTACTAAAGTTCTTTCCCAACACGTAGACAGAGCGACGTACCAACAGAACATTGGCGCGTAGCAATCGTATCGTAATGCATCCCCCCTCCCCGATACGTGACGCGCTGTTCTCGCAGCTTCCGTTCCCTTTAGAGCCCCGGAGAAGGAATCGTGGCTCCGGCAATTAGCATCGTCGTGGAACAAACGAGCCATCCTATCGGGCTAATGCCTCGATATATCGATCCCCCGGCGCACGAATAATTATCGCCCTTCGCGGTAGCCAACCTTCGATGAACCCGAGGACAAGGATACAATCGTGGAGCGGCTACCTCGAACGCTACTTTAAAGGCGACGAGCCAAAGGCGAAACCGTAGTCCACGCGAGGCACGTTGGGTGTGATATAGTTGGCGGTCCTGCGCGCACACGGTTGCGCGGTGAATCGGGACTCACTTCGATGCGATCGCGTCGAGTAACTCAGGGACTGGCGGCCGCTTCTTCTTTCTCCGTAGAGGACCGTGGAGGACTGAATTATGGGCCGTGGCCGTGGACACTCGGCAACACGCTTCGTCGTTTAACCCCTTGCCCGATCCCGAGCCCCGAAGCGCATTCTTATACCGTCGCCCTCTCTCCTCGTCGAGTTTGGCCGAGGATTCTTACGATTCTTGGTGAGAACGGCCGCATAGCAGTATATCTGCCGCCCCGGCGCACACTCTTCCTGAGACCTTCTGTCTTCGGTTGTATACGGGGATGTACCGAATCTTGTCCTTCGAAGCGTGGTAGAGAGCTCCGTAGTTGTTCCAGGATCCGTGCAAATGTCGAGGTTCGAAATTTATGCGAAAGCGGGATAAATTTTTTCATAAAACGAAATCGTAATGTTTGTAGATTTGTGAAAATGAAAAATATAATCTGTACGAAATAAAACTTTCGGTTAACGATAGCAGATTCTTGTACAATTCATTTTTAACGAAATTTCCTCGAATCGATTATAGGGAGGAACAAATTCCAATAAATTGCAAAACAGTGTGTCGATCGATCATCGCGGTCGCGATTAAAATATCAACCGGTGTAAGCCTGACTAGCTTACAATCCGCGCGCGCGAATTACTAAAAACTGAAACGTGGCAGGAAAGAGGGATAGCGCGATCCCAGATATTGCGTGTGTGTATATATATATATATATCGAATTTGAACCAGCGCTGTGGATCGTGATCATCGCGTTGTTATTCCGCCAGGCAGGCAGTTGGAAGCGTCAAACGGAAAAGCGTAACCGGGACACGCATTAACGCCGCTCTCGATACGCCATAATACGCGGCGGGTCACGTTTTTCGTCCTCGAACACAATGCACGCTCGCAGTGCCCCTCCTCTCTCTCTCTTTCTCTCTCTCTCTCTCCTTTCGGCAATATGTTCGAAACGACGGATGGATGGATGGAGAGAACGGGCGAATAGGGACGGTTCCACACGCCGGGGGTTTGTTTAGGCTCCGCCGCGCGAAAGCCACTCAACCCGCTAATCTATTTAGCCGTGCTGTTTGATATGGAATTAATGAGGACCCCCTGGTATTATGTGCACGGGCCTGATTTTTGGTTTACCTTCCCGAGAATGGAAAGAGGGAGACACATTCGTGGCCTCGACTTAACAGTTGCTCCTCTGCCTTTTCACACTGTTGTTGGAAAAGTCCTTTTGGGACGATCGTCACCTCTCTTTCTTTCTGGGTGTGGTTCGTTCGCGCAGCTGCTCTACCGTTGGGTGTCGCCCGATTATCGGCGTCGAACGTGCCACTGGAGGCGTTTATTGTTTCGTAAATCGGAAACAATCGCGTCGGCAGGTGTGTGTTTAACGGAAGTTCCCTGGAGGCTGCGCGCTAGGGATATATTGGGTTAAGTGGATACTGGTTTGGTGGTGTGTTCATACATACACGATGTAGCAAAATGGTGATACAGTATTTATTCGTTACGAATAACGTTTCAAATTTCTTGAAATGTTTGCTCTCTCTCTCTCTCTCTCTCTCGTTTTTCGCTAGCTAGTCATTCTTTCTTATAGTCGTAGAGATAAAGAAGCTCGAATTTATGGGTTTGCGGTCACGAGCTCGTAAACTTATATTGAATAAATACTTTACAAAGTGTTTCTTCTATTTCTGTACAGAAGAAAAATATGAAATAATAATTTTTAAAATAATATTTGACGAAACATATTGATATATTGAATATTATGAGAATTTTGTTTAAATTTTTTTCCCGGTTTTTCGACGAGATAGACTTGCGCTACAATTTTCGGTGCAACATTTTGTCGAGACACGTTTGTCGAGAGAAAGTTGTTCGATTAATATGGAAATATTACATCGTTTATTATTATGTTCAGATAACGTTGGATAAATTACATGCATATTGTACTTGGAAAAGTTGGCCAAATTCAAGAACATTTGATATAATTTGTAATAATTTCTAGGATACATAAAACACTGTCTTTTTAATCTTGCCGTGAAATCTGATTCGCGTATCAGCAAATCCACCGGTCTGTTTCGAGAAACGTTTAAATCCAACCGGATCTGCAACGAGATATCTTTCGCAGTTTACCTCGTGAACCATTTCATAACTTGATTCGATCAATTTTCCCTTCGATCAACGACCACTAATTCCCGAGTAATTCTTAACTAGTTGTTGCTGGCAGTGTGCAACTGAAACGTTGATCTCTCCAGCAAAATGGGAAGCTCGCGATCCGCTTCACTTCGCGTGCAATCCGTGCAATTGGAGAACGTGTAACACGGCTCGAGATCGAGTGACGATTAAAACGTCCGAGTCTCCCGACGTTGTCAGCGAATCTTCGACGGTGATACCGGTAGCATCCACGAAAAGCAAACTTCTCCTATGTTAATATGCCTCCCCTATATGTGTACCCAGTCGCGTACGGTCATAAGAGCGAGACGTGACGTGTATGGTAGTGTCGAACGAGTGTCTACAAACGCGAAAACATGATCGATTACAAGTTTTCAGATCTCGTAACCGGTATTTACAGTAATATCTTAATAATAGGCGCAAAATCGTTCACGATCATATTCTGAAATTGGTTCGATCTAACCGAATCTCTACATTTTTTTCGTATTCGAACGATCTTTTTCTTTCTCTCTAAAGAGTGAACGAGCCAAAAAGTAAGTACGATAACGTCGACAATTTTTAAAACTTTTTCGTTAATAGAATGTTTAGAATCTCTTTCGTTCGAAATGTTAACCTTATTTTTGCTGATCGTAGAGAATAACCGTTAAAAAGAGGCGAAACATTTGACGAAATTATTCGCTTCACCGTGTCCGAGAGCGATTGTTGCCGAACATACTCGATGATTCCCGAACTTATATCCGCGAGAACGCATAAATACTGTCATGGCGGCGCGAACAGACGACGATTCGTCGCACCTGGTACACGCGGTCGGTCATTCGTTGTCGCTGTAACGACGAGCGTAAATCTGACCACGAATGGGTCAAGAGATGGAGGTAAACGTTAACCTTCCGCGATAAAAAATTGCGGGAAAAAGAGGAGCAGTTAGCGTGTAACGCGAGAAAAGGTAAAGAGAGGGATCCACGAAGAGTGGGTGACCCACGTAACGTAAACGTGTATACTCCTCCCGACCAGGGTTGTTTGCCGAGAGAAAGAGCGAGAGAGGGAAAAGAAAGGAGCGAGTCGTCGGGAATTTTCAAGCAAACAGTGTCGATGTAACGCGTCGTTGTTTAAGCTTCTCGTTTTCGAAAACGATTTTGTCGAAAGACGCGTACAACATCTTGTTTTCATTGAGATATGCAAGTTGTCCTCTTCCCCCTTTCGAAGCACGGCTCGATACCGATACAACGCAATGCAAATATCATTTGGCCAAGAATGTATCTCCTGTTTAGATTACGATATGTAAAGAACGAATGTTCGAGACACCGGGCATGTACGCCATCGATCACGTAACCGGCTGTTGTTTGGTAAATATAATAAGACGCTGTGTTTCTCTCGAAGCTACGAAATATTTTTATCTAGAAACATATTTATTGTTTGATATTACAATGTGTATCGAGCAAACGCTCTGTACCCTAAAACTTTTCTTTATACATTATTTTTTAAACGCGTATATTATGTCAAATACGAATTACGCAATTTACGATTGTCAAATATAAACACCTTTTATCGACAAACGACAATTATCTCATTCGATGAATTAATATCGCAAAAACATGTTTATTTCTTCCCTAATCCTAATCATTCCGAAATACGAGAGAGAATAATATTTTCTTTCGTTTCCAAGAAGGAAACCATCGACGATACATAAACATCTTCGATCATTAATCTCGAATATACTCACTTGTTTCCAGTGTCCTGTGACAGTGAGCTCGTCGCTGACGTCTTCCTCGGCCTCGCCGGTGTCCGGCGCGATCCTGAGCGCGGGCGGTTCGTCGTTGGTCAGCGTAGCGGGCACTGCCACCAATCATCCCCTGGGAGTAGCTGCCGGCCTGTCGAACGCGAGGATGGCGGTGACCAGCGCGGTTGTGAGGCCGCCTGGCAGTCCAACCACGTCGGTCAGCCCGTCGCAGGGTCATCCGCCTCCGACGACCGGCGGCCCAACGCCGACGGGGCGATGCTGCGACACCGGAAGACCGATCTTCACGGACCCGCTCACGGGCCAGACCGTGTGCTCCTGCCAATACGAGCTTATCGGCGGTTATCAACGGCTCGGCGCGCTACCGACGGCCGCGCTTTCCATGTACAGCGCGCCGTACGCGGCTGCGGCCGCCGCCGCCGCCTCCGAGGGCATGGCCGCCTATTTCCCGAGCCTTGGGGCCGAGCAAGCACCCTTCTATACACCTACGGTGAGTTAATAAGTATTATCGAGATGGAATAACGAAAGGATAAAAATTGTTAGAGGAAAAAATTTGTCTCTCATCTTTCCATAAACAAGTAATTGGAATTTCAAGTTGATTAAGAATAAACAAGTTGTTTGTTGATTATTGTTTAAATTCAGAGTTTAGCTGGTTAAATATCGTTGGAAGGAACTATTTATTTGATACTCATTTTTTGGAAAAAATTACCATCGATTAAGGATTGTATTAAACATGGCCGTCAAATAAATTATTCTCTAAACTCCATCCATTTGATCTTAATAAAAAGCGTACTCGCTGGTGCGTACGCTTTCCCGATTTCGCCGTGCATTGTTTAATTATGCTATCATGGCTCGCGCGACTGTTCCCGCGTAATAAACGTCAATGCAATGCACGCTCGGTGTTCATACAGCCGTTTCACCCTACCGAACCTTAAAAATTCATTTTATTGCATCCACGGTCGTTCGAAGATACTTTCGAGTTTATTATCACCGTCGTCGTAATTAACTTCGTGAATCGGTCAAAATTTTTAGGCGAATTTTTACCAAATGTTTCGCCTTATTAATTCTCCTAACCTAACGATCGATGAAACGATAAAGTCCTCGAATCAGTCAAATGTATAAAGTAACGAACGTCACATCGTGGTCAGATAAGGGTTTGAAATTTCCAACTTCACTTGACACGGGTCGATGTCGCCATCTAATGATTTGATTTATGATATATTATATCGTAACTCTAATAACATTTGTGCCAATATGCCGCTTATCTTTACTTCGATCAACGAATTTCAAGCAAATGAATTTCATCGAAAAGATAACGAATTCACAAGTTGGCCAATTCTTAACGATAGTTTCAATGTTTTGTTCCAAATTATAGAAAAAGCTTCGTAACTCACCGCTATTTTTCATCGATTTACATCATATTTTCACTTTATTAGTTGGCCATTCTAACCTAACTCGTACGTTCAAACACAAATCGCATTTCGAAAACTAGAATCACAAAATATTCCATAAATCGTGAATTCACATTAAATAGTTTCTGTCCAACCCGTCCAGTCCCGCTTATGTTCTATAGAAAAGCGAGAAAAAATACGTATTCGACGTTTGAATCTCTAGCCAGCAATCTACCACGATTCTATCTGATCCACTACCGAAGCGCCTCCCTGCGTCTATTTCTCATCACTTTAGTTCCTATGTATCGTTCACAAAGCGCATGTCGAATCGAATATTTCTTCTCGACTGTTAGGATAAAGAACATATATATATATATATATATATATATATATATACTTATATCGTAACTCTAATAACATTTGTGCCAATATGCCGCTTATCTTTACTTCGATCAACGAATTTCAAGCAAATGAATTTCATCGAAAAGATAACGAATTCACAAGTTGGCCAATTCTTAACGATAGTTTCAATGTTTTGTTCCAAATTATAGAAAAAGCTTCGTAACTCACCGCTATTTTTCATCGATTTACATCATATTTTCACTTTATTAGTTGGCCATTCTAACCTAACTCGTACGTTCAAACACAAATCGCATTTCGAAAACTAGAATCACAAAATATTCCATAAATCGTGAATTCACATTAAATAGTTTCTGTCCAACCCGTCCAGTCCCGCTTATGTTCTATAGAAAAGCGAGAAAAAATACGTATTCGACGTTTGAATCTCTAGCCAGCAATCTACCACGATTCTATCTGATCCACTACCGAAGCGCCTCCCTGCGTCTATTTCTCATCACTTTAGTTCCTATGTATCGTTCACAAAGCGCATGTCGAATCGAATATTTCTTCTCGACTGTTAGGATAAAGAAACATATATATATATATATATATATATATATATATACCTTGTTTTAATATATATATATACGCTCGCGAGACGTTCTATAATAATCGAGATGTTATCGTGGCGAAAAGTCCTGGACACTGTGACGTTAATATGCGCGAGCAAGAGAAAAGAGAAGCGTTGCGATTTGGGATAGGCAATCGCGTGTATTCGTCGGACCCAGAGAGGTTATCGGACCACACACAAAGCGTATATGCGAAGAAAATAGCCGCGAAGCGTAAATTTATGAATCCGTCCTGCCGTAACAGTGGGACACTGTCGTGTTCGAGCCGTCGCCGGGGCAAGCTTGTTATCGTCGCTCTTTATGATCGAGCTTAAAGGCCGGACGTATAGAGTGGGGCCTCTCCTCGTAACCGGATTGCATATTGCATATACAGGTTGACCCACGTAACAGAATACCTTCGTAGCTAATATTAACAAGATTCTGGAACTCGCTTGGTAACGTTTTTAATGATAATGATCTTTATATAAAATTCTTTCGATTTTCTGGTCTTCTGATAACTTTGAGGTTATAAGTCGAAATAGGGTTATAGGTCTATTGGGTTTTTTTTTTTTTTTTTGTTAATCTTTTTTATCAGTGTAATGAATAGAGATAGATCGAAATTGGAATTTTAAATCCGCGAAACTTGGACATTTGAAATTTTCTTCTTCTTTCGAGTAATTATAAAATTAATTATTTTTTGTAACGATTTGAGAATTAAATTCAGATGTTAAATAATTTCGAAAATTTTAGATAGATTTCGATCTATCGTATTAAAATTCAAAATTTTGATAACTTCGTGATAAAAAAAATAATTTTGGTTGAAATAAACGGGAGAGAATTTTCATTTCGTGATACTAGTAAACATGTGTAATTAAACGCTTGGATTTTAGAATATTCCTGGTCCTCGCCTTTGAGTTCAGTTTAAACACTCGAAAATTACACGGATCGAGCAACAATTTTCGAAGAGTTTCAAATAAACGGTGTTGAATTTTCTTGATTGAACTCTGACCCCTGTCCACTATTTTCGAGTGCTAATTACCAGTGCCAGTTCAACGATGACTACGTCATTCGAAACACAATGTATAATTAATGCCATTAATGCACAAGATGAAATGATTACACGAAAAGAAGCGAGGCAGAAGGAGAGAGATAGAGAAAAACGTTTTAAATTGGGAGAGGAGAGGAGGGATTCTATAGTTCTATTATTCTACCGATTGATGATTTAAATACTGACCTGATATAATATAAAATCGTCGTTGGGATTTCAGTAACAAACAAAACCGGCACACATCGATTCTAATTATTATTATTATTGGTGCTTTGTCAGCTATTTTTCTCATTACAATCGATGAATTGTTAATCGATCGCAGTGGCGTTGCTTAACTGCGTCATGTTCTTATAAAAGTGGGTATTTCCGCTAATCAAACTAGTCGAATGTTTTTTTCTCTATCGTTTGACAGAATAATATCGACGAAATATCTATTTTTGGAAAATTAATTGGAAAATAATTTTGACGATTTTTACTTTGTCGTTGAATGGCTCGCATTTTAAAACAAAAAGTAACCGTTGTTTCGTTCGTTTTACGTTATTTATTCGTTGGAAATTCTTATCCCCACCACCATTGAAATTGCTCTCGAACCCAGTGAAGCGAGAGTAATGTCGCGCCATAAATTTTTAGCATCCTCTATCCTTTTTCGTCTTTCGTTAGTTGTTCCTTTTTTTTTTTTTTTTACGTTCATCGTTATTACGGTAAACGTAAAAAGAGAGATAAAAAGAATTTCGTGTTCTTAACATTTGGAATTCGAATTGTTAAGTTACGACGAATAAATAGTGTGTACTGTCGAGTGGGACAAAAAGCTCGTGGAATTCGTGTTTTTCAGCTGCGATAATTAGTCACGCGAAACGTTGCCATATTACCAACGATTATATATAATCGGTTACAGGCTGCTGGCCTCGATCTGAAGGCGGAAAATCTTGGGGCTGGAGCCGCGGCAGCATGGCCTTATCCTTCCGTGTACCATCCCTACGATGCGGCCTTCGCTAGTTATCCCTTCAACGGGTGAGTTTTTATATACATATATACAATAACTCTTCTATACACAGTGCGTCCTGATAATCGTAACGTAACCAACGAAGAAAATTTTCGATTTCTTTATCTCTCTCTACGAATATTGGAACACTCTGTGTGTATCGTACTATTTTCTTACTCGAGATAACGAAACGAAATAAAATCATCGAACGAATCATTCCGAATGTGGCAAATGGCTTGTATCGCTTTCGACAATTAGGGGATCACCTTTATGGACGATTTAAAAAGAAATACCGCCATATTTAAAGCAATATACGTGTCCTAGACTGGGTGGGTGTTTTCGAAAACTTTCTCCACCCTCCACCTCCATCCCCCCGCCCTCCCCTCCTTCCCCTCAAATTTTCATCAACGAAAGCCGCACGTGTTTTCTTTTGCGTTTATTGTCAGGAACAAAGTCGAAGTCGGAGACAAAGGTGGCGTCGCGTCGCGGAAAGTTTTTCTGCTCGGTTTTATCTCGGTAATTGCATTTCGATTCGAGGTATCGAATCTCCAACCGTTGCTCTCCTGTCTTCGGAGGAAAAGACAGAGGATTCTCCCCTTTCACGTGCGTTCGAACCACTGTTGTTATATATTCTTTTTTCTCGCGATGTCGAGTCTCACGCGCTCAAGCTCGCGATAACGCTCGACAGAGAAACACATAAACATTCCAATAAATTAGCGCTCCGTTGACCCGGGACTGTCGCCTTGGGCGTTTTTATTCTCGCGCTCCTCGAATCGGTCAACGCGTGTCACGCCGACGCGACCGGTGAAAGGTCTTACCCGCAAGATAAGTCGGAATCGTATTTATCGGCGCCGGGCGAGATTACGGATATTCGGAGTTGGTTGGAGTGCCTCGAACTCTCTCGGCCCGATGATTAATCGGTCTAATCTATGTTTCCTGAATTTTTCAATTTTTCCTTCGCCTCTTTTTTTCTTTCCCTTCTCCCCCCTCACAACGAGCCTCTCGTTATCGTGTACCGTTATCGCGGCGCTCGTCGCGTTGGAACGGATGCTAAACCGTGCGTGATGCCGTACCGCGAGTGATTTGTAAACTCGCTTTTTACGACTCGCTAATTGTAAACAATTAGAAAAGTGGGAAACGGGATTGTTGACTCCGTAGCGGGATACACCGCGAGTTACAGCGTAAATATGAAAATGAATTATTTCTAATTCTAATTAATCGAATATTATCCATACGATACGAAAGTAAAATACGTTGTACAGTTTATCTATACAATCGAAAAATGTATTTTGCCCCCGTAATTGCTTCACGAAGAAGCAATCTATGATCGGGACGAACGGTAGTGGAATTTAAAAATTATTCACAGTTAAGCGTGAAATTTTCATCGTATTCTTGCGTATTTTAATCCTCGTAATTACCTCGAGGATACCGTTTCAACCGAGGAATGAGTTTGTAAACCCCGCTGCTACACTTGTTAACGCATTGTGGCGGCGGTGTTTTTTCAACAGGCGAGCGATAACGTTGCAGAAGATGAAACATCCTGCTTATATCAGTGGTCTCGATCAATCATTGCCGCGTCTCGTTATCTGGCCCGTGGAAACGCGATCCTCGGTCACGTAGGTATTATCCAACCACCCGGTGACGAGTCGACGACGTCGTGCCCCCCCTCCTCTTTCTCTCTCTCTCTCTACTCGTGGAATCTACACTGTTGCCGCGTGACGCACTTCCGGCGGAGACTGCTTCGTATGCAAGGAAGCGATCGGGTACTACAGCTTGCTTAGCATCCATTCGCTCTGGTCGGTTCGCGCACCGGGTCTTCCTTTGGAGGAGACCTACCGCCGGTCCACACCGGAACCGCGTTAACAATTACCGGAAGATCCGGGGGATGCACCTGTCCCTCGAGATCTTTTTTCCTTTACATCGGATATAAATTTTATCGATATTAACAATTTTCCAGCTAACTTGAACCGATCGTTATTTTAAAATTATTTCGTCGAAAGAAGAAGGAGACTCGAGGAAGTAAAATTTTACTGTACACAGGTTTCTTAATTGTTAAGAAATTCAATTGGACACGAGTTGAAATAATCGAAGTAGGTTTTGCGGGTTAGGTTATTTTAAAATTATTGAAATCGTATAAAAGTGATCCGTCTTGTGTCTTACTTCGTCGAAGGAAGGGAGAGGAGATAAAATTTTACTATGCAGAGGTTTCTTAATTATTAAGAAATTCAATGGTACACGTGTTGAAATAATAATCGAAGTAGGTTTCGCAGGTAAGGTTAGGTTTTGCCAAAGTGTTTGTAGCATCGAAATTATCGATAGGAGGAACAAGGAAGCGAGAAAATACGCGTGTTTAAATTTCGATCGATCGATACGGCGCGTTCGTACACACGATTTTTCGGTTTTTTCGCCCCGCGAAGGAGTTAATTAATAAGCGTCGATTAATGCAAACAACGTATCGATACGTGAAGACAGCTCGAGATATACACACGCGCCGTTACCTGACTAATCAAATTCAAATTTAACGCGGTATATTATTGAAATCAATTTTCCCTCGACGATTCGCAACGTCATCGAAACGAATATTCACGAATAATTCAACGTATTAACGACTGCTAATTTCCCACCTTCGATTTCGTTTCCGCGCGAGCGAAATAACAATTGCCAATCTTTTTTCTCCCCCCTCCCCCTCCCCACCCTTTTTTTTTTCGCATCGTGATGTTTCACAACGAATGTGAAATTTTATTTGTTTAATTTTCTTCGCTCGTTTGTTTGCTTTCGAGAAGAGTTATTTATACTGCGAAATTCGATCAAATTGTTTTATCACGTTATTATACTCGTCGTACGTGTCCATGCTACGATTCGCGAACAATACAAATTAATTTTCTAGACTTTTTTATTATTATTTAAAATATGAAGGGAATTGCGCACAAAGTTAATTACGAATTAATCGAGTTGGGTTCACGTAGAAGTTTCTTTTATTTATTATACATATTCAGAAAGAAAAATTCTTTTCCTGTCTCCATTTTTATTTATACTTAGAAAAGAAAGAAAACGAGATTTATTCGTTAACTTTGGGCAGAGCGTGCCAGCCACGTTCGAAGATACTCTTTTTACCTCTATCTATATATCCCTCCCCCTCTGTTTGCGTGCAACCCTCGACGAAGAAGTTCCAACTCGTTAATGTACAAGTAGCAGCAGACGAGGCCAATTAAAATTAAAATTCAAACGCACATCTCTCATAAATTCATAACTAATTAACTAACATTCGTGGTAATCAATTCTCTCTCTCTCTCTCTACAACTGCTAGCAAATAATAATGAAAGCGATTAATCATCGTTTCAAAAATCATAATTTCATCCGTGGATCGATGAGAATCCATTAGAATTATATTAAAAAACAGAATCCTTCCAAAAAACTTCCTCGTTCAACGATATATAACAACACAGAGTATGAATACAAAGATAGTCTTCAAAAAGTGGATAAGTGAAACAAATTCAAGCAACGAATCGACCAAAAAAAAAAAAAAAAAACAACACGCGCACACACGCAATCGTAGGCCATTACCATAGGCTGCGTGTGCACCATCGGCCGCTTTAACATAAGCGGCATAAGCATACAAAAAGCCAATAATGCAGAGTTGGAATGCACGGCCGCGAGGTCTCGGGATCGTGCGGGTTAACGGTCCCGTCTTTCCGGCGGATTGGCCCTGCTTCCGGGGACATATAGGGTAAACAATAAGAAACACAGTGGCCGGGCAGCCGCTCGCTTGTACGAACACGGCCGGCGTACACACAAGCCCGCTTCTGTGTCCGGCCTCGGCCCCCTCCTCGCCCCCCCGATCAAGCACACGTATTATTAAGTGTGTTCCGTACAACGACCGATGTGTCTCGGCACGCGCTTCACGGGCCTTCGAGAGCGCGTTTAAGGACGTCGCGACCATCCGCGAATCTTAATGATCGTTCGACGCATGGGCGAGGGGGGGGAGAGGGAGGAGAGGGGGGGGAGAGCTCGGTTCGCTCGTTAAGATTATCGTTGAGATAGGATAGCACCGTGCTCGAGGAAGGAAAGGGACGACGAGAAAGTGGTGGAAAGTTTCGCATTTTTCTGGACGGTTTTTGAAATTTTCCAAGGGCGGAACGTGGACGTGTTCAAACTTTTTCATATATTTGAACATATATTTAAAATCACGATAAAACGCTATAAAACTTTGTGACTTTTCCTAAAATGTGGATACGATATATTTTTCAGTATTTACTTTTTTTTTTTTTTTCCCTCTCTTTCCAAGAAATGTTTGTCTATGTTACTTTGTTTTGTCTCTGCCTGTCGGTAGGTTTAGTGTTAAAAGGTTTTAGGAAAGGAGAGAGGAGGAGGAAGAAGAAGAAGAAGAAGAAGAATATAAGAGAAGAATATACGCGACACTAGCGCCACGTGACCGTTAACTAGTTAATACTTACGATAATTATTCGATCGTTTATCGCTTCCAAGGAGAAAATTCTTTTTCTTTATTTCTAAGAAATTGTGAAAATTATGTTTGAATCGTCGAGATAGATGATTAAATGAAAATAATGAATTTATTAATTCGAGGAATCCTTTTTAATCCGATACATTATATCTTTATGTGTCAATTTCTCCCATTCTGTTTGACGAGTTATTACTGCGGGGATCTTTATTTGCCCACAAAAGAAATTGGCTCTTAGTCGAATTGATTTTCACAGATAGCCCCGGCTTCATTTCTCACGGATTCGATAAGATTATTGAACATTTTTACACGGAAACGTATCATCTTGATGATCGTCTCTTAAATTTTATTTTCGTACTCAACAATCTTATCGGTATTGTTTTGCATAAAGAGAAGAGAATTCATCGTGATGGGTTTTTTTTTTTTGTTTTCTGTTTTATTTAAATAATTCATTCATTAAATGATGCTTCTCCAACGAGACGAGATCGAAGTGTGTAGATATCGTTCTGTGAAAATTTTTCATCAACAAAAGAGAGTGAGCATTGTATACGTTGAAACTGCTAACTCAAT